ACAGCTATCGCATCCTCGGAAGACGAGAGCTTCTGCCCTGTGGCTGCAATGCGGCAGTATCTTGAGATACGGCGTCCAGAACCAGGGCCTCTTTTCTGCATTTATATAATTGAGCCAGTTAATAAAAAACACTATGTCTCAGTGTTCAAAGCTTCTTTGCATATTTGTGGCCTGGACCTAAATTTGTACACCGGTTGTTTCAGTGCCAAAGTAAGTAAACGCGCGCATAAACCTACTGGTAAAGTATAAACATACTTTAGTATGTATTTGTCTGTAAATTTTGGGGATATAGTGGTTTAATGCATGCGATCACTAACACGTTTTAATAAAGGTGGTATACTCAGCTGAACCAACGTGCTCGGCTATAGTATAATGTTTGTTATCTTTTCAAATGAAGTACATTGTAGTACACTATAAATAAATCAAGTTTAAGCTGTATATATTGTTATTACATGTTTGCTCATTATTTGTTCAGTAATTATTTAGTAATTCATTTATTATTATCTTTACAATATATTCAAGGGTGTCAAACATATTGGTTTGTAGAATAAAATACGGTCCAAGCATTGAGAAATAACTTTATTAATAAAGTTATCGAGATCTACACCAAAGCAAATGCGTCACTGTCGTACCTTTGTTTCTATTTTCGAAAAAATCCTTCGCGGTGATACGAATCATAGTCTGGTCGCACGATTTCATATCCGTTCATCCTTTTCTTCATTAATATGTGGAGTTAATGGGCTGGAATCTTATACCGTGAAAACATATGATGCAAATAAGCTACTATAGACAGCCTATGATAGTACCCCAATATACACGTTGTTATTGAGTAGTGACAAGAAATGACACGCATGGACTTGGCAATTTTCTGAAGTTGCAACTGTTTGGATGAATCATTACACGGTCAAACATGTCATGTTTTGAAATGTAAACACAATAACTAACAGATTGTTTGCTAAATGTTTGGGGCGGCAATGCCATAAGTTTAGGAGAATGATGAATGATTTAGGGAAGATACGATATTTAAGAAACTAATTTTTATTCCGCGTGAAAACGAAACGTATCCACGGTGAATAGAGCAGCGTAAACACAACAATTAGCATAACAAAATACGACCTTTCTGACTTTTTACTGACTGTGTCATTGCAGCGTCAACGCCATTTGGAATACAGGGCCGTGTACAGTTTGGATTTAATTAAAACAACGTATTTTCCACGTTTTCATTCCGTTTTTTGTAGAATTTTGACTGGAATTTGCCCAAGTACAGTTGTGAAATAAACCGGTTTTGTGACTCATCATACTACTTGTAACTGTTGATATTTGACGTTCCCAGGTACTAAGGTCGACCGAAACATCTGACCTGGATAAGTCTTTGGTATGACCAAAGTTGTGTGACAGTATGCCTGACAAGTTTTGCCGTTGTTTTGAGGTAGGTTTGTTGGTGTAAGATCTGATTCTCGCATGTTTTTGTGATAAATACATGATATGACTTGTCTCAACTCCGGCCGAATGATTGAAGGACTTTGCACGCCGGCGCTCTGTACAGTGGTTGGTGATGGCAATTACCCTGGTACAATTTCGCTGCAATTTTGTCAGCTAGAATTCGAACGCCACTACGGGACACAGGTTGATATTGGTGACAAACATTTTTGCCTGTGACTCATAGTTTTTTTTTGCATTTTTTTTTGTCCCTCAATCCCTCAATCTCATGTAGTTGGTGACCAGTTAAACTAAAAGATCGTGTTTTCTTTGTTGGAGGTTCGCAATCCATTTCAAAATCACAACACGGAGAACACGGCGTTCTGGCGTTCGTTTAGGCACCGTCAATCGCGGTGTTGAGGAGTCGGTTATTTTAGGTTTGTGTGGTGTACGACGACCGACGCCCACAACTTGTATCCCGCCATTAACAAAAAGCAACATTATGGTTATATAATTTTTCAGATATTCATATTTCCTTATTTTTTTCCAATATTTTCCATAATTCAACCACTATATTTCCCTAAAAATCAAATACTACCTACCGGTTTTATGCATTTCCGCATTAACCTGTAGTCAATTCATGTTCCAGGGCCACTTTGTTTAGCTGTGCATTATCCGCCAGTATACTATTAATTGCATATGCAAATGGTGTGGACCAATCAAATCGATGGATTAACACCATCAATATACTGGTATAATATAATCGGTGATATACAACAGAACATACTGTCACATGATCAGACTTGGGAAGATGTTAGACATTCTTACTTTCCTCATTTCAATCCCAAACTTTTTGCAAATGCGGATGATGTTCTGAAAAAACAAATGCAATATAGTAAACATTGTAATACAACAATCACAGCTAGAAGTATCAAATTAGCATTTGTACTTAGCTCCACAATTTGATTCCTGCACTGATTACTAACAAGTTCTTAAATC